ACACATCTTATGTTTAGATACAACGAGATACGAGATGAATAAGAAAACTTATAAAAATCATTAAATCTTTTAAATATGAATTTTGAAACACAAGTAATACATAATTAACTAAAATATAAAATTAAAACTTAAATGTAATTTAACTGTCTATCAAACTAATATGTCTAACACGTGACGCAGTAGCGGAACTAGGGACACTGATATCCACAATAGACACCAACAGAAATATGGTTCTCATTTCAAATATAATCTATTACTTATGTCTCATTTTGCCTAGAGTGACTAAAGAAGAATTCTGCTTTTTCGGTTGGTTATACGAATCACATTCAATGACGGAAAAACTGTTGCTTAGCAACAGATTACCTTGGAATGTAATCCTGGCATTAGCAGATGGGGAGAAAGGGATAAAATCATTTCTTATGAATTCTAGCACTTGAGAAACAAAACTAATGTGTGAAATTTGACCTTGTATGTGTAGAACTTCAACTACACTATTGTAGAAGTACACAGAGAGAGCTATAATGATACGTAAGAAAGCAAAGGTACAATATGGGCGTATGAGACCTGAACTCTGAAGTTTTAATTATTTGTTTCAGAGGTTTCTTTTGCAACATACGAATAATAACTTTGATAATATAAAACTTTGAATTATAAAGTATTTGATAATGCAAAATTTCATTAAAATACATTGAGAGTAAATTGGTTTAAAGAGTTAATAGAGAATCATACATGGGAGACAGCATCACTTCTGCACCAGGTATTATCTTCATCCAGTGTGAAAAGAGGTGTTGCAGACACTAGTGGAAAAAGTGGAGGAGCACAACAAAAAGGGAGAGAAGATGGTTGGATTGTAATTCAAACCACATTATATTATAATCTCAATCTTGTTGAAGACAGGCTGTAGATGAATCTACTATAGACAATAATGTGAGGAAAGCCAAACTGGATGTGCTTCAAGGTGTAATGTCTAAAGCATTACAAACCATATGTGGTAAGTCAACTCTAGTCCAAAACCAAGTGGAGTAGTATATATAACCTCTCATCCATGGCAGGACAAGGGTCCACACCATCTTCACCTCAAGTTCAGTAGGACGGACATATATATTGCGCAAGCTGACCTATAAAGTGGGCAAATGTGCGCAATCCACAACTAACCAGACATCTGGGACTCAAAAATACGAATGATGGCAGTAAGAGATGTGCCCCTGTGGGAGGTCACATCATACTCTAACTGAATCTGATAGGCACCCCATTATGCAACAGCAACCTCAGGCTTCAAAAATTCCTTGAGGAGAGCACCAGAGGGAGAACCATTGCCTCCTTCAACATTATTCCCCTTTTTGTGATCACGAAACAAATTGAGTGAGGAAAAGGAAAACACAGGCAACATATGTTTGAAGACTTATGTTGATTGGTCCTGCTTGAAATCCAACATCAGTCACTGGGAACCAAAATTCATGTAATGGTAGGATGAGCGATCCAAATCGAAGAGGTGAACTGCAACGTGACAGATCAACTCCAAAGCAGTGCATGAAAGTGGGTTGCCTATATAAATGATAGTCACAGAAGTTGAGCACAACATCAACCCTCAAAGCCTACCATACAGAGACAGAGTACAGTTAGCATTGTACATGTGCTGCCTCATCCCCTTGGACAAGACTGTACAGCATTGGACCACATCACTGACTTCTGGCATAACATCAACTCTCACAACCCACCATACAGAGATGGAACACATGAATGAAGGACCAGCATCTTCTACACCAGCAGAACACCACTGCCCTACTCTCAACTGAATGAATGTTGTGTATATATATCTATCAGCATTAGATCACATTCAGGAAGATACCTCCACGGTTCAGCACCTCAGAACTGAAAAGTGACAAGGACTTCCATACTTATGTAGAAGAACAAAGTTGGAAAAATGCATTGAAGAGTCTGGAGGAATGCCAACACTGGGACAATGCAACCCTATTTTGAAAAGCAGACTGCCCCCCCCCTCGATTTATTCAATCAAAGATATGGCAGGGATGGACAGCTATCCCTTTCTGCTTTACCCATGTATGTCCATGGGTTAGTACAGTCCAGAATGTGTCTATTAATGAAGCAAATATATCACGAGGGAAAATCTATGAGCAATCTTGTGGAACACCCTATCTCAACAGTGTGCATTATTGGCCATGGGAATACTGTATTTAATGATATGATTATGGTCATACATTGTGGGCATGCATAAGTCAAGCAAAAGCTTTGACCACCCAACAGAAAACACAAAGCTGAATCAAGTCCAAAGGGCAAGGAATGAAACTGTACACAACCCCATGATGGACAAATCGAAAATAATATCTGCACTAAGGAGGAATAGGAATATGTAGATAGGCATTTGAGATGTCTACCTTGGTCATCCACAATCCTGGAGAGAAAGCCCACCTTATAGTGAGGAAGGGCTCCATTGTAAAATGGGGATGATCTAGAAATTGATTGAGGTGGGACAGATCAATCACAGGATGCCAGTCCCTATCTTGAAATTCACGTTTCATGCAAATATTTTATTTAATAAATCTTATAGACTGGTTTTACAGTCTCTATTCACCTGTAAGCCTAAAAGCACGAGTATCACATCCTCTATCAGTAGTGTTGCTTGCACAATGGATCGAGCTCGTACTGGAGAATTTATAATTACTATCATTCTTAATTTACTATGTGTATCTTCACAAAAGTTGGCAGTGTTTTAGTAAACGTGAAAAGTATGTTGTATACAGAAGTTCTTTCAAACAGACGCTTGCATCTTTCTTAAAAAGAAAGTAAACCAGAGCTAGGAGTGTAACAATACTTTGAACAGTCGATATGTTGCGATTATGAATATCCCGATAACATGCAGTGCATCGATGGTACATTTTATAATTAATAATAATCGCCAATAGTACCCTCAACAATAAATGTTTTCGATAGTTTGCAAACTTGATTATTTTTCCAATTCTGTTTGTATTATTTAAGCCAGTTCTCAGTAATTTCCCATTGTTTTTAATCATTTTTACAGTGTGCAACCAACAGGCACACCATTCCATATTGTAGCATATAACTGATAGCACATCAGTAACTGATGCGTGTAAAATAAAAAATGACTGATATCTATCATTTTATGTGGATACACTGTCTAGAGCACTGCCTTAACTATTTGTTAATGTGAGGTTAATATGTTTCAAATCAGCACATAGTTGTACCCACAGGCTCCTACTGCCAGCTACTCTACCAATATCTGGTCAATATGTCTTAGTGAGTTCTTCTTCTGGAAGTCCAGAATTGCACAAATCTTGAAGAATACAATGTCTTCAGGCTAAATCTCTAATGTAATGATTCAATTATTGCTATATAATAATGAAGTGATGTGTAATAGAACACCTTTTCATTACATCTCATGTCAGCTCTGCTATTGGACATGGCTTTGGAGTTTCATTCATACTCCTTGCTGGCTGGCATCAGATTTCATTCAGTGCATGTCTCACACCACTCCCCCTGATCAATGGTGGCTCCATCATGTGCTTTGTGATGCTTGGGCTGATCAAGAAATATCTCGAAGGTCCATATAAACCACCACTTGCTGCCACCATGACCCTTCTCTACTGTCTTATGTTCCTGTCTATGAAGTTTAACTATATGAGGTCACCTGGAATTGCCTAGCAAGGCACTCTCAAGGTCTCCAGGGTGAAGTGAGAATGTGAAAATTGATCTCACCATGACCAACATCAGCTCTGGGCTCAGAAGAATGCTCCTTATAGAGCTTGCTGCATTATCGGACCAAGTCCTCACAACTACCATAGTTTCCTCATCTCATCCATAAACTTTACATGTATTCCTAAAGTTATTTCCATGATAGCATGATTTTCAAATGTTATTGTATCAGAGAACTAACAGAAAAATATGCATCCTAAAAAACTGTGCAATAATAATCCACTGGACATGGCACCAAAATGTTTATTTTTCAATAAATCTGTAGTATTCAGAGACATTGAAATCTCTCATGTAGCTAACATTAACTGCAAAACAAAAGTTCAGAACTGTTAAGCAAAACATAAATGGAACAAAAACAACAAAATAGCATAAGTGATCAAAATACATTTTTATTCACAAAACATAGTGCACGTTCAAACTTACTAGCCAGCTTCTAATCTGAATGACTATTGTTTGCCAGCTGGAGTAGTGAGCAGGATTAAGAGTTGAATACAGCAAAGTGACAAACCAAAAGCAGCCAACCAAGTGGGAAACATAATCATGGAAGTGACCATTTTTTATAATAATATTTAAGTCTAGCTGAGTGTCTGTCCTTTGGTTTTATATACTTCAACCACTAATCTACACACAATTCTAACCATCCCAAGCTAGTTTCATGGTTCGATTTTTCCTAGGTTAGTTATGCTTTAGTCTTTAAATCAGTTTTTATTCAATATCATGTTTAGTCAAGAGAAATCCTTAAATACACTTATAGGTACAGCTGAAAATATCTTAACCAGAAATATAACATTTTAAAGTACACAACTTGTTGAATTATTTTTTGTTAAAATAATTCTGCCACTGATATTACTACAATGTCAAAAACTAGGTTATAAAAGGTTTCTAGCTCCAACAAGCCACCATTAACATTAACCTATTATTTTACTTTTATTTAAACATGATACAAAGATGAATTTTTGTACCTTCAAGCTTTGTTGTGATGAGACTCTCTGGAACTGCACGTAATGCTTCATTCAACCATTCACCCATGGAGTTCACAAAGTTTAAGATTTCTTCTTGTAGACTAGAGAAGGAAATAATTTGTTTTACAATTTTTTCTATGTATTATGCTAATATCTACATTATATTGAGATTTCTTATACTACTGAAGTAAGCCAATTTGTCCTTTGAAAATAAATTTCTTATCTGCCTTCTTGTTATTCAATAAACAAAAAATGTAACACTTTTATCTTTTCTTTTTTTTTTGAAAGACCTGACTAAGAAAACAGAAATATTTAGACTGAGAATTGCCAGGATTAACTTCTTAACACATTTTTTCCCAAAGCTATTTATACACCAAACTTAGATATATTCACACAAAAATATCATCAACATTGCAATTAATCCGACTGATTACTGCTGTGGTTCCCTATGTATTTTACATAGGGAATGAGTAGTTTTTTTTTTATATACCGAGTATTATAACAGGAAAAACATAAAGTTACATATATGATATAATATGTAGGTATACCCACAACTATAGTGGTGAATAGTATAAAACAATGCAGTGATTTGAGATTAATAAACATAAGCTCAATCAATACCAAAAAGTTGTTATATTTTATAATTTAAAATCATAATGTAATTAGGGAAACTTAAAAACAGATTTGATGCTTTTCTATTAGAAAAATTATAGCACATTTAGCATACTAGAAAAGATTCATATTACATCAGCATACTTTATATTCAGTGTTTCAAGTTAACATTGATTATGTATTTCAGACAGATAATCATCCACAGAACAGATAGTTATTACCCCAGTCCACTGCTGAAAAAAATTTTGTTCATGTACCAAGTCTTGATTGAAACTCCCACCCCTTCATGTATTGCACCAGCTTATAATGTAATCATCATTAGACTATAGTCCTTTATCAATAGGAGTGCAGCACATCCTACATGCACAATAAACCCCAACCATTTCCATTTCAACCATTCTAACAAAGGCTCATTTTTGATGAGACAAAAGAAACACACCAGAAGTGGGTAAATTCTGTGTAGAAGTGAATATCTGTCTGAAATACATTTTCAGGTAAGGAAAATGTTAACTTCCAAAATGCTACTGACCTTTCCACAGAACGGACAGTTAAAATCCCACGTTGATAGGATGGTGGAGAGGCAAGTGCAGATAAGTAAATTAAAAAGATGAGATCCTTTATGAAATTATAGCATGAGAAAGGGAAAACTCAAGGAGCATGTCAGCCACTAAGAGTAAGAGGGGAGCAGACCAGTGTAAAAAATCATTTGGTGGTAGACCACATCCTTCTCATGAAAAGAATACTTTATTCGCCAAATACAGGTGGTAGGATGTAAAATTACTCAACCAGCCATTACATCTCAGATGGTCAGCTACGCATGTGTGTAGTGTGGCTATGACAGCAAGTCAGGCCATACAATACATGCACAAATATTTATGTGAAATATCATAATTATAAAAGCCAAAGTCAGTCAGTCATGCTCGATTTCTCCAAATTTTGTGACTTACATATATCCAATACCAATTTTTCTCCTATAATACTTCCTCTTTTAAATGCCTATTCCAATTTTAGTTGAATTCAATTGTTAACATAGGCGTAAACAGCTTCTAAATTGTGCCACTTTTTGTGCTATATATATATATAGGCCTGTCAAGGCAGAAGTTCCCAGAACCAGATAAGGCATGGTGTTATGTATGTGTGACACCACATCACCTACATCATTATGACGTCAAGATAGGTAGGATCTGAATAGGAAAACTAAGAAGACTCCCTTTATTGAAGGCACGGAAGTGCATTTGCCCCATATCAACGTCTGTGAAAAATAAGTCAATAATTAGAACAAATCTAAGCTTTGGAACTATTATGAAAAAGCCTTTGTTAAAACAGACTGAAGATACCAATTATCTGTATGGAAGAAGACGACTTTTCCTCATAAGAAGAATCGGTGTTTATGCCATCACATGGTCATCGTATGTTTTACTCTTTTATTCAAAGGCACCAATATGGAACGTTTGCTCAGTTATATGTAGTGGATTCAGGAGCAGTATGTGGCATGTTCCTGGGAAAGGAAATTATATATTTCTTTTGTGTATTGCCAGTTTTATATGGAATAGTTTTGGTTTCTTGTCATCTTTGACGGGCTTTTACGCTAATAAGCGAAAAATTAATGCAATTCTATGCTTGTGAATTTTGGAAATTGAATTACAAAAAAGTGGTAAAATCTTGAGATTAAATTAATTAATTTTGAAGTTTTCCGATCGAATTCAGCACGTGAAATTGTTAGATGCATTATAGTCGGTTGCTAATTTATGCAGTTTTTAAACTGGAGTGATTTACTTTTAGTTGAAATTAAGGAACTTGAAAGAACTGCACAGAGAAAATGTCAGTTAGTCAAGAAAGACAACAAAGACACAGAGCCAGCCAAGATAAAGAACAAGTAGCTAATAGACGAGCTTTAGACGTTCAGAATAGAAGAAACCATCATCAAAATGAAAGACAAGAACAAACAGATTGGATGACACGAGTAGAGAGAGTTTACAGTAATAATTTTGATGAAAATGAGTTATAACTACAGAATAGTGGAGATATGGATGTTATATGTCAGTTATGCAATTTGATCATATTAAGAGCTGAGCGACCAAGTGATGGAAGATTCAATAATTGTTTCCGCAAAGGAAAAGTGATTTTGGCTCCAACACAAGAAGTTCCAAAATATTTGAGAACTCTAATGAGTAACATTAATCATCAGCATTATAAAATCTTAAAGAAAACGTCAGTTCCTACAACTGTACTTTGTCTCTTGCATTGATGGGAGCTCAGATTGCAGATCATATGAGTTCACGACCAGATATATCATCAAACATCTTATATGCATCCAAACGCAGGAGATCAAAGACAATTTGCTCAGTTATATGTAGAGGATTCAGGAGCAGCAAATGAGGAAAGAATGAACAATAAAAAATATCAGAGATGTATTGTAGAAGTTATGCAAAATTTAGACAGAATGATCAGACAGAATTATGTTTTTGCTGCTGCTTATCAAACTTTGGGAGAAGTCGAGCATCACGAGGAAGGGTTGAATGTTATTGAAAATAGAACTCTGCCAGTTGTAAACATAGCATTCAGATGAGGCAGACAGAAGAAAATACAAGCTGCCTGCAGTTAATGGGATTGCAATGCTTTTTAGAAATATAGATACAGAACCACCCTTTGAAATGGATTTTAGAGTCTACCCAAGAGATCCTAATGCTCAGATGATTAATTTGAACATTTTGAGCCTGAACTTAGACTCAATAACTTATGCTGTATTCTTCCCATATGGGAAACCAGGCTAGCAAACACGTTTGCATATTAATATGGAATGTTGAGAAAATGTGAGACAAACGAACATCAGCATGTTGCAGTACGAAGTTACATAAACAGTAGTTAGACTGAAAGAGTTTAATCCTATTTTACATGATGTCAAACTATTTAAACAATGAACTGTTGATTCACATCTACAAGTTCAAGCAAATAACTTGAATTTTTTAATAATGCAGCAAAGAAGGTTGAAAGTTAAACAATATAGAGGATTAGGGGATCATTTTGTTAATGTGGCCAATAATACTGGATTACAAGTCGGGTGAATGGTAATACTGCTGACATCTTTTCAAGGATCACCACGAAATATGAGAGAGTGTTTCATGACGTGATGGAAATTGTTGGAAAAATACGGAAAACCAGATTTGTTTGTAACAATGACCTGCAATCCCAACTGGCCTGAAATAACAGACAATTTGTTTGGTAGACAACAACCACCAAATAGGCCTGATTTGGTGCACGTGCTTTTAAGATGAAGCTGCAAGAGTTGATGGATGATATTTTTGAACAAGCACATTTTTGGAAGGCATCAGGCTTATGTGTATACGATAATTTAAAAAAAAGAGAGGTATACCACTTGCTCATATTTTGGTTATATTGCAGGAGGAGGAGAAAACTGCGGATCTCGAGATGACAAATAGAGTAGTTTGTGAAGAATACCAGATACTGAAACTGAGCCCACATTACATGAAATAGTGATGAGGTATATGATACATGGGTACTGTGGAGGATTGAATCCAAATGCACCTTGCCCGGAAAATGGCAGATGTTTAAAGCATTTTAGATATAAATTTGAGGTGTTCACATAAATCAAATCAGTGAAGTACATTTTTAATTATGAATATAAGGGTTATGATTGTGCTAATCTGGAAATTTGAGAATATGCAAATAATGGTGATATAGTTTATAATGAAGTCACTCAAAATTTGGATGCGAGATATGTCAGTGCACCCGAAACAATGTGAAGATTGTTGGTAAATAAGATGCATGATGTCTCTCACGCTGTGATAAGATTAGCAGCACATTTAGAAAGAGAACAATTGGTGTTCTTTCAAGAAAGCAGTGAGAAGGAAGCATTGAATAGAGCAGAAATCAGAAATACTAACTTGACTGCATAGTTTCAGTTGAATTAAGAAGACGAACAAGTGAGACAGTTTTTGTATCCGGAGATACCTTACCATTATGGAAATCATGACAATGGGGAGTTCATAAAATAATTACAAGGGTGTACTCAGTCAGCCCATGAGGTACAGATAGATTTTATTTGAGGCTTTCACTGTTGCACATTCATAGAACACAAAATTTTGAAAATGTAAGAATTGTGAATAGCCAAGTTTGTGAAACCTTTAGAGAAGCAGCTGATCACAGAAACCTGTTGGATAATGATGATGAATGGAGGAGATATTCTGACGAAGCTTCAACAATGCTAATGCCAGCTCAGTTGAGACAAACATTTGTATTGATATGTGCATTCCTCTAGCACTGTACCAGCAATTCAAAGATAATTTGATTGAAGATTTTATGAGACACCATACTCATGAAGTTTCAATAAGAAGAGCACTACAGGAAATTCAGGCAACAATGAGAATTCATGGGCTCAACTGTTCAGAGTTAGGTTTGCCAAATCCAGTTCCAGTGGAAAACTATGATCATCAAATCAATGCTGAAGGGGAAGCAGAAGAAGCTGAAG